GGGGGCTTCTTGGTGCCGTTTTGGGCGCCTCTTGGGCCGTTCTGGGGCCATCTTGGGGGCCTCTTGGGCGATCCTTGAGCGATCTTTGGGAGCTCTTGGGCCGTATCGGGCCGTCGGAAGGCCGAAACGAAGCAAATGTCAACATCCTTCAAAAACCTTCGGAACATATTTTTTTAGGCCTTTTCTGGCCTTCCTGGAGGCCCTCTTGGAGGCCTATTGGGCCGTCTTGGGCAAGCTGCGAGCCACCTTTGGCCATCTTGGTGGGCTCCTGGCCCGTCTGACGCCGTCGGAAGCCGTTTCGGGGGCCTTTCTGGGCCGACTTGGGGCCCTCTTGGGGTGCTCCAGGGTCGTCTTAGAGGCCATCTTGGGCGTCTTCGAGGCCTCTTGGGCCGTCTTGGCGCCCTCTTTTGACCGTCTTGGGGGCCTCTTGGGCCGTCATGGGGCCATCTTGGAGGCCTCTTGTGGGCGACCTTGGGGCGACCTTGGGGGCCTCTGGGGCCGTCACGGGCCGTCGGAAAGCAGAAAAGGCGCAAATGCCCAAACCCTTCAGAAATCTAAGGAAAATCAAGGATTTTGGCCTCCTCGGGCCTTCCTGGAGGACCTCATGGAGGCCTCTTGGGCCGTCTTGGAGGCCTCTTGCGGGCCTTTTGGGCCGTCTTAGACCATATTGAGGCCATCTTGAGCAGTCTTGGATGCATCTTGGGGCAATCTCAGCCGTCTTGGAGGCCATCTTGGCTGTCTTGGAGGCATCTTGCAAGCCATCTTGGGCCATCTTCGTGATTTGTTGAAGATGTCCCGAGCGAAACGGCCGTTTCTGGCATTGATTTGTGCAGTTCCCGGGTGGCTGGCGGGACGGGCCGAAGCCCCAGGGGGAGTTCTCTTGGAAAAAGAACCGAAACCCATATCATCCGGCACGCCAGGCACCCCTTTGCTAAAGCAAAAGGGGGCGGCGGATCGAAGACGCCTACGGCGAATCACCGCCGCCCCCTGCCTTTTTGGAAGCGCTTATGTGGCCGAACGTTGAGGCCAGACCTGCCAAGCCATCGGACCATGTGTTCTCCGATATGTTTGGAAAGCCTTCGGGGAACACGTGGTCATCTTGAAGGTCATCTTGGCCGTCTTGGAGGCCTCGTGGGCGATCTTTCGGCGATCTTTGGGGTCTCTTGGGCCGTCTCTGGCCGTCGGAAGGCCGAAAAGAAGGAAATGTCAAAATCCTTCGAAAACCTTTGGAAAATCAATGTTTTTTGCCTTTTCCCTCCTTCGTGGAGGCCCTCTTGGGGGCCTCTTGGGCCGTCTTGGGCCAGCTTCGAGCCAACTTCGACCATCTTGGTGGGTTCCTGGCACGTCTGACGCCGTCGGGAGCCGTCTTGGAGGCCTTTCTGGGCCAACGGGGGACCCTCTTGGGGCGCTTCGGGGCCGTCTTGGAGGCCATCTTGGGCGTCTTGGAGGCCATCTTTGGCGTGTTGGAGGCCTCTTGGGCCGTCTTGGGGCCCTTTTGGGGCCAACTTGGAGGCCACTTGGGCCGTCATAGGGCCCTCTTGGGGGCCTCTTGGGCGATCTTGGGGGCCTCTTGGGCCGTCTTGAGCCGTCGGAATGCCGAGAAGAAGCAAATTCCAAAATCCTTCAAAAACCTAAGGAACATCTATGATTTTGGCCTCTTCGGGCCCTCCTGGAGAACCTCTTGGTGGCCTCTTGGGTCGTCTGGGAGGCCTCTGGGGGGCCTCTTGGGCCGTCTTGGGCCGTCTTCGACTCTCTTGGGCCCTCTTGGAGGCCGCCTTGGACCATCTTGGGCGGACTTGGAGGCCATCTTGGGCCATCTTCGCGATTTTTTGAGGATGGCCCGAGCGAAACGGCGGTTTCTTGAGCCATCTTGGTGGATTTTTTCCCGGATTGAGCACCTTTCCGGGTGGCCGGCGGGACGGGCCGAAGCCCCATGGGGGAGTTCTTTTGGAAAAAAAACCAAAACCAAAGCCGAGAGGATCCAGCACGCCAGGCACCCCTGCGATGAATAGACAGGGGGCGGCGGATCTAATGCCTTCGGCCCATCCCACCACCGTGCCCCTGGGCTGTGGGTCAGAGTTCTCAGGGATGTTTCTTAGAATCTCTTGGATGCGCTCTCGGGGGCCTTTTGGGGACAGCTTTGGGGACTCAGGGTCCTCTTGGAGGCCTCTTGGGGCTTCCTGGGGGCCTCTTGGGGGCCTCTTGGGGACTCCTGGGGATTTCTCGGGGCCGAGGGCTCGAATTGTCCGTTCGGGTCCCCCCTCTGGGCCCCCTCTTGGAGCCGTCTTGGGGGCGTCTTGGGCTGTCTTGGGCGCCTTTGGGGCCGTCTTGGGGCCATCTTGGACCGTTCTGGGGCCCTCTTGTAGGCCCCTTGGGGCCGTCTTGGGGCGATCTTGGGGGTTGGGCCGTCCTGGAGCGTCGGGAAGCCGAAGAGGCATCATCGTCGCGGGCTGGTCGATCTCAGGGACAGGGATAGTTAATTCCGAGGCTGGGCCACCCCTGCCTGCTGCCTCGCCCTTTGACCGTTTGCCGTCTGCCAGGCTAGCCCCCCATCTCTTCTTTCTTCTCCTCTTCTCCCCTCCTCCCCCCTCCCCTCCTTCCCTCCTTCCCTTCTCCCTTCTCCCCTCTCTCCTACCCTCCTCGCTCCTTCCCCTCCCCTCCCCAGATCTCCATCGACTCGACCTCCCGAGCCGCCCGCCCCTGGAGCTCTCGACCCCGTCCCCGGCGCCAGCTGTTTATCCCGCGCCGCTCTTCGACGTCGGTGGTGGGGCCGGCGGCCAGACGGAGGCCGCCCTGCGATGCCGTCGACGGCGCTCTTGCTGGCCGTTTGTCTCGGCGCCGTCTGTGGAGCTGCCAAAGGATTGAGTCCCGGCCCTCTCCTCGTCGTTTCACCGAGCATCACCTGCACAAGCTTGAGGCATTCAAGCAGGGCGTCGCCTTCGAGGATCGAAGGCGGATGGCCGGCGGAAGCAAGAAGAGGCCGCCTCCGCTGGCAGAATCTGGCGGAAGGCCGGTGGAAGCCAGCGGAAGTGAACATCGGCCTCCCAAGAGACAGCAAGGTTGGTTCAGGGCCTCTTCGTGAACCCGCCACTTATAGTATCTGGGCGTGGGCCCCCCAGGGGCGATACGCGCGCTGATACATCTCGTAGCATATGCTCGTTGGCTGGCGTTTTCTGGCCATACCGCTGGGGCCTCGACGTGCTATCATATTGTTGTGCTATAGGATCTGGTTGGACGCATGCATGCAAGGAGGACACAAGGTAGAGTCAAAACGCATAGTAAGGGCAAGTAACTCTCCAGGATTACCCTTGAATCCTTGCCCCTTCGGCCCATCCCGAGCAGCTTTCACTGGCCAGCCCCGTTCGAAAAACGTCAGCTTGGCCCTTTCAAGGCCCGTGCACCCTTACCGCGCATCCTTAATTACTATACGTTGGGACTGTAGTGCGTACTTCTGCGAGCCGTCATCTTCGTCGTCACCCTCATCCTCATCCTCATCCTCATCATCATCGTCATCGTCATCGTCATCCTCATCCCCATCCTCATCCTCATCGTCATCCTCATCCTCACCCTCATCGTCATTGTCATTGTCATCGCCATCGTCATCCTCCCCTCTAGCCCCCTCCCCCTCTCCATCTCTCCCTGCCCCTCCCCCTGCGCTCGCCGTGCAGGCCGCCGAGCGGCAGCGCCCGGCGCAGGCGCGACGGACAGGGGCCGTATGGAGAGGCCCGCGTGCGCACGCCTGCGGAGCAAAAGGGCCTGGCGACGACGACGCCCTCGGCGTCGAGCCCGGGCCTCAGGCCCCCTCGGGTCATGAGACATCACGGCGGAGGGTTTTCCGGCAGGCTTCGGCCCCTCGGGGCCCTCGCCAGGCTCAGGGGCCGTCAACAAGACGGCTCGGGGTGAGACCGGTCCCGGGGAAGGAGCGCAGAGCGTTCTGGGTGCCCACGCCATGGAAGAGCGTGGCGTCGGGGGTCTGGGAAGCCGACGGCGACGTTGAGGGCGACGGCGGCCTGCTAGGAGGCCAGTGCCCTTCTCCTTGCTTTTCCGCCTGCGCCCCTGCTCTCGTGCTCTCCTGCGCCTGCTGGTCCTGCCGTTCCCGGCTCCTGCTCCTGCTCCTCTTCGGTTGCGCGCAGGAGGGCTCCCATCACCGCAGTGGCCCCTGGTGCGGGCCCAGGAGGATCCTCCCAGAACTGGCTTGCGCGTTTTGTGTTGCCCACCTCCTCCCGCTCCTCCTCCTCCTCCTCCTCCTCTTCCTCCTCCTCCTCCTCCTCCTCCTCTTCCTCTTCTCTTCCTCGTCTCTTCCCGCCAAGCGCAGCCTCCTTACAGCCGCGCGCCGAATATCTTGCCTAGCGTCAATCCTGCGTGCAGCGGATGTTCCTCCTGCCTCCCTTTCCGGCCCCTTCTCCTGCTTCTCTGCCCCTTCAGCTTCTGCTTCTGTTCTTCTTCTCGTCGTTGTTGTCGTGCTCGTCGTCGTCGTCGTCGTCGTCCTCCTCCTCCTCCTCCTCCTCCTCTTCCTCCTCCTCCTCCTCATCCTCCTCATCCTCCTTCTCCTTCTCCTCCTCCTCCTCCTTCTCCTTCTCCTTCTCCTCCTCCTCATCCTCATCCTCTTTCTCCTCCTCCTCCGTTGGCCTCTACTATGCGGTCGACGAAACAGGGCCCCCATCCCCATCGCCACGTCCATGCCCGGCCATCTTTCATCCAATGTCCACCATATAACCGTTTTGCGCTGCGCTGCGTTGCGCGAGGAGGGTGGGATGGGGTAGGGGATAGTGGATAGGGCCGGCGGTACACCAATGAGGGGTTTCTTAGCATCAGCACTTTCTGAAACTGTACCAGACCTGCCTGCGAACCAGTGGGCAAACAGGGCATAGTGCGCAGTTCTTCATGCTGTAGCATCCTGTTTGTAGGATGTTTGTATGATTGCAGTCAGACGGGACAGAACTAGACCTGAGCAACGCATACGACAACATCGACCATGATACCGCCATCGAGAGTCTGGACCGTTCTAGATTACCTGAGGTGTTAATGTACACATGCGCTGCAGTTTGTCGTGGACCGAGATATTGCAGTATTGCTGATACACTGGCGTCGCCCATCAGGCCTTTTCAGGGGCCCACCTCAGGGTGACTCTACAGCGCCGGCTACGACGATAGTTTTTTCACCTTTGTAGCCACTTGGTGCGAGTGGGTGCTTCATGGACGACATATCTCTGGTGTCACAGTCGCCTGACGCCTCGCAGGGGGACCTCGGCATGACCAAGCAGTTCGGCGCCAGCGTGGGCTTCTCGGATAATGTGAGCCAGCGACAGAAATGGTCAGACGCAGACCCCGTTCCGAAGCAGATCGAGCACCTTGGTGTACGGTGCGTCCCAGTCGACCCTTCGATCCACATTGTGCCTCGTACGAAGTGGGAGAAAGTGGAGACGGGAATCTGTATATTAGCTACGGTCCCAGGCAGCAGCCTGGTCAGAATCAGGCTGGCCTGCGCTTACATCAGACCCTTGTGGCCCTGGGCGAGTCCTGTGGTGGTGCCGCCGCCAACGACGTATGCCAAACAGCTTGCGACAACTAGATGGCGAACATCGACGACATGGTGATGTCTTGGAAGGAGATGGTGCCACCATGTTTGGCTCCATCCAGTGTGGTCGACTGCGCTGATGGCGTTCAAGCGAATAACCAACGATAAGTGTTAGCGGCCCATTTTTCTCGTGATATCCTTTCTAACTGACGGTGAAGCTCTGGATGTTCGGTTCTTTGGGGCTCTCAGAGGATAGGCGCATTTCTAGAGGTGGACCCTTCAGAGGATCATCGTGTGCGCCAGGTGGTGGAGGGCTTGGTTTATGCCCATTGGCGTTTATGGACGACTGGAGCTAACTCGAAGCGAACACATCACGCTCTGCGAGTCATTGCAAGAGTGAGGTGCCTGCGGGTCGTGGAGAAGCGACGTCTGGATGTTGAGGAAGGGGATGATGTTGATGTGGACGCATGTTCAAACAAGGTGTTTGTGGTGTGGGCTCGCTAATTTCCCTTGCCACGAGAAGCCCTTCTGGGTCCCAGCATCTTCAGGAGTGAAGCCTCCTACTTCGGACGCGCGAAGGCAGACGGGCAATCATTGCTACATAGTGTTGTTGGGCGATGTGGCCGAGTATGCGGCATGCTGTCAGACAGTGCCAAAATATGGTCGGATGCGAGAGCGGTTGAATCATGTCTTTCCGTTATCAGATGGTTTTGGGAGCTCCATTCCGCTGGATTCGTCGAAGTCAGGCTGGATGACGTACCCTACGTCCGAGTGACCTCGCCTCTCCCCCCCCTCCTCCGTAACGGTAGCGAACGTACGGGGAGGGTTTCCCAGCCCCCCCACAGCGATGGCGCCGTGCTGATGGGCACGGTGTGGTGCTGACACGCACCAGAGAGCCCCCAGACGCCTCCAGAGGCAGCCGTCAGCGTCGTCGTTTTCATCGGCGTCATCGTCGTCGTCGTCGTTGTCGTCGTCGTTGTCGCCGTTCGTTGTCGTCGTCGTCGTCTTCGTCGTCTTCGTCGTCGTCGTCGCCAGCGTCGTCGTCTTAGTCGTCTTCGTCTTCGTCTTCGTCTTCGCCGGTGACGTCGTCGTCGTCGTCGTCGTTGTTGTTGTCGTCGTCGTCAGTGTCGTCGTCGGCGTCGTCGTCGTCGTCGTTCTCGCCGTCGTCGTCGTCGTCGTCGTCGTCGTCGTCGTCGTCGTCGTCGTCGTCAGCGTCGTCCTCGTCCATATCCTCGTCCGCGCGTCCCTGTCGTCTTCGTCGTGTCCGAGGGCTTTGCAGGGCCTGCGGACGCTTTCAGAGGTGTCCAGAGATCTCTTGATGCCTCCGGAGACCTTTGTAGACATTTACAGGCGGTTGTCGTCGTCGTCATCGTCGGCGTCGTCGTCGCCGGCTTCGTCGTGTTCGTCGTCGTCGTTGTCGTCGTCGTCGTCGTCGTCCTCGTCCTCGTCGTCGTCGTCGTTGTTGACGCCTTCATCGTCGTCGTCGTCGTCGTCGTCGTCGTCCCTGCTCTCCTCCTCGTCGTCGTCGCTGTTATCGTCGCGTCGTCGTCGTTGTCGTTCTTGTTGTTGTCGTCCCCGTCCTCGTCGTCGTCGTCGTTGTTGACGTCGTCGTTATCGTCGTCGGCGTTGTCATCGTCTTCGTTCTTGTGGTCGTCGTACTAGTCGTCGTTGTCATCGTCGTCTTCGTCCTCGTCCATGTCCTCGTCCTCGCCCCTGTTGTCGTCGTCCTCGTTCCCTTGCCGTTGTCGTCGTCGTCGCCGAGGGCCCCGAAGGGCCTCCGGACGCCTCCAGAGGTCACCGGAGACGTCCTTAGGCCTCTGGAGACCTCCGGGGACCTTCACAGGCGACCGTCGTCGTCATCGTCGTCGTCGTCGCCGTCCACGTCCTGGTACTCGTCCGCTTCCTCGGCGACGTCGTCATCGTCGTCGTCGTCGTCGTCGTCGTCGTCGTCGTCGTCGTCGTCCCCGTCGTCGTCGTCGTCGTCGTTGTCGTCGTCCACGTTCTCGTCTTCGTCCACGTCGTCGCTGTTGTCATCGTCCTCGTCGTCGTCGCCGTCGTCGTTGTCGTCCTCGTCCTCGTCGTCGTCGTCGTCGTCGTGGTCTTGGTGGTCGTCGTCGTCGTCGTCGTCGTCGTCGCCGAGAGCTTCGAAGGGAGACATCCGCAGGCCTCCGGAGACCCCTGGAGACTTTCAGAGGCGGCCGTCGTCGTCGTCGTCGTCGTCGTCGTCGTCGTCGTCGTCGTCCTCGTCGTTGTCATCCTCGTCGTTGTCATCCTCGTCCTCGTCCTTGTCGTTGGCCTTGTCGTTCTCGTCCTCGTCCTCGTCCTCGTCGTCTGTATCGTCGTCGTGGTCGTCGTGGTGGTGGTGGTGGTCGTCGTCGTCGCTTGGCGCCTTGCCCCCCCCCCCCCCCGGCGGGGCTCGAGCTCGACCACCTTAATTACTGCTACGCCCCCGCGGTGGCCCACGCCCCCCCCGCCCCCTCCCCCCCCCCCTATAATGGACGCTACGGGGGTGGACTTCAAAGAGGCGCTCAAGCTGGGCCTCGCGAGCATGCTGCACGACCCTGGGCCGATTCTCTGGTGGGCCCCGCGAGCAGCCAGATGATCTTGCCAGGTGCATCTGCCCTTTCGTTACATGCGGTGTGGGCATCCGTTAAGGGATGGGCCCAGGAGGCTTCAGACCCTGGGGGGGTCCTTATCTGATGAGGGCGGCAGTGTTATCCATGGCCGATCCATGATCGCAGTTTCAATGGCCTCCAGACCCTGGATTCCTCATCGAAGAGTTCCTTATCCAATGCCCTCATCGTATGGTGACAGGACGTCGTGAATGTCCCACTCACGGTGCGCCAGCGTTTTGTTTAGCTTTTCCATTCTGTCTTGGTCAGAGGGCAACATGCCTAGGGACACATGCCCAACACGGACACATGCTCGGCTCGATGCGTCGGGGATCACTCCTTTTCTCGTGCAAGAAACAATCCCAATGAAATAATTCAGGGCCCCGACGCACACACACAGAGACGTACCGGCACAGAAAACGATGTACACACGAGCACGCACGCACACGCATACATGCACACACGGACACACACACACACGCACAACACACACACGCACACACAACACAACACAACACAACACACCACACCACACCACACCACAACACAACACAACACAACACAACACATCACACCACAACACAACTCGACACATCACACCACAACACAACACACCACACCACACCACAACACACCAAACACACAACACAACACAACACAACACAACACAACTCACGCACAACACACACACACTCATACTCACACTCACACTCACACACACACACTCACGCCTCACACATCACACATCACACACACCACACACACGCACGCGCGCACACACATTTAACACATTTCACACATTTCACACATCACACATCACACATCATGCATCACACACACACACATCACACACCACACACCATACATCACACATCACACATCACACATCACACGCACACGCACACATCACACACACGGACACATATACGCACAAGACACAACACAACACAACACACCACACCACACCACACCATACCACACCACACCACAACACAACACAACACAACACAACACAACATCACACAACATTACACACCACAACACAACACAACACAACACAACACAACACAACACAACACAACACAACACAACACAACACAACACAACACAACACAACATTCCACGACACGATACGACACGACACGACACAACAGACACAACACAACACAACACAACACAACACAACACAACACAACACACGACACAGAGACTTCCGACGGCGGATGTTTGTCAAACCGCGTGGCTCCAGATCTGTCGACCTCTGTCTTCGTCTGGATTTCGTGCGTCGGGATGCCTTCTGTGGGCCCCATGGCCCAAGGTTGGCCTGAGGGAGGCCCGTCGTGATGTCTTCGCGGCGGCCAGCTCTGAGGTCTGGGGCGGCCTTGGAGGGGCCTCCACGGGCCCCCCCCGAGGTAGAGTTGCTCGCCGGAGGTCTCTCCCGAGTTCCCGGGGGGCCTCCGGAGGCCGAGGACTTCCCAGACCTCCGACGTCACGATTTCTCACGACGTGGACCCCCTCAGGCCTGGACCCCTTCCCAAAACAGAGCAGCACGCGAACAAAAACGAAGGCATTCCCAGGGAGTGGCTTTTCAGAGTCGTTTCTGTTGACGGTCCCGGGGCTCGGCGAGGGCCCCCAGAGTCCGACAATACCAGAACCCCTTCCGTCGCGAGCTTGTCACGACGTGAGAGGGGCTGAGTTTCTCGGAACGTTTCGACAGGTTTCCCCGATGGAGGCCCAGAGCTCGGAGGCGACGGCGACCCTGATATTTTTTAGCTGGGCCAGCCGCTGGCGGTGGCGGAGGCACAAGAGGAAGAGGAAGAGGAAGCTACGAGGAGGAGGAGGAGGAGGAGCAGGAGGAGGAGGAGGATCAG